GCCAACAGCATCCTGGCTTGTATCAGGAATAGTGTGGTCAGCAGGAGTAGGGAAGTGATCCTGCCCCTGTACTCAGCACTGGTGAGGCCGCATCTTGAATCCTATGTTGGTTTGGGCCCTTCACTACACGAAGGACACTGAGGTGCTGGAGCGTGTCCAGGAAAGGGCAAGGAAGCTGGTGAGGGGTCTGGTGCACAAGGCTGACAGGGAGTGGCCGAGGGACCTGGGGTTGTTTAGCCTGGAGAAGAGGAGGCTGAGGGGAGACCTTATCACCCTCTACAACTATCTGACAGGAGGTTGTAGCGAGGTGGGTGTTGGTCTCTTCTGCCAAGTAAAAAGCAATGGGACGAGGGGAAATGGCCTCAAATTGCATCAGGGGAGGTTTAGATTGGCTATGAAGAAAAACTTCTTCACCAAAAGGGTTGTCAAGCCCTGGAACAGGCTGCCCAGGGAAGAGGTTGAGTCACCATCCCTGGAGGTATTTAAAAGATGTGTAGGTGTGGTGCTTAGGGACATGGTTTACTGTTGGACTTGGCAATGTTAGGCTTATGGTTGGACGTGATGATCCTAAAGGTCTTTTCCAAGCTAAACGATTCTATGATTCATGATTACAGTATTTCTATTCAAGCATGTTGCAGAATGGTAACTGATACCTGCTGCCTCCTGTTTTTTCTATCTATAGTTCAAAGAATATCTGCCCTTCCTTCTTCCAAGACCTTTGGCTTTGGTAGCTGCGTTGAACAAGCTTATGCAGTAATCTCTGCTATACTTAAGTGGCAATTTGCATTAAATAACAGGACAAGTTCCTAGGCCATTTCCAAGAAACAGGTGGAAAAAACCCAAGTAAAATTATCAAAATTGCCAAACATGACTTTCTGAAATATCCAGAAATTGGGATGGATTTGGGAAATAATTTTAAATAAAAAAGATGCTGGGGGCTGAAAACATCAAAACATTAAATTTAGATATTTCCAGAATAAAATACTTGATTTAAGTATTAATTAAGTGCTTAATTTAAGCGACTACCAGGAGGAGATGCTTACCAGGAGAAGCACCTACCTATGGCAATGCATACATAAATGCTAGCATGCTCATTTCTTCTCCATACATCAAATGGCATCAGTGTTTGAGGGTTTTTTTTCTGGATTCCTTTTTAATTTTCTCTTATTTTCTTTTTGTTCACTGTGTGTTTCTGTATGCACTGGATGATCTCATTCTTTATGAGCAAAGAGCTATGCAAAGGGAACAGAGCTTTAGTTAAGTTTTATAGCTAATCTCGTAATGTTCTGCATTCCTAGCAATCGTACTGACACATCAGAGCAGAAAGTACAGTAAGGGAAAAGGAACATGCCGAGTTTGCAAGCTCTTCATTGCTTAAATGGCCCCAATAAACAACTGAAAAAGGAATGATGAGAGTCACTGTGTTACAGTGAATCCATGTTCCTCTAGTATAAAAAAAATGATACGCACTTCCCTGGAAATTTTTTACATATAGTAAGGACTCTGACACCCTCAGCCAATCAAATGAAACACCGTGCCTGAATAAAACACCACCCACACTTCTTTTGCCAGAAAGGAGATTTTTTCCAAATTCAGGCTCTCACATTGGTTGCTTTGCCAAGTTTATATTCGAAATACAGATTCTCCTAAGGAAGTGGAAGTAATAGCCTTGACAATGTACGGTGTACTCGTCAGATGATAACAACAATCTGTAAAGCTTCACCGCAGTAAGACAGCAAGTGCTGCTGTTTCCTCAGAGCACCAGGGCAAACACCCGAATGCCACCTGCCACCGTGCCTTACAAAACTTACAGTGGTTCAGCCTCTGGCAAATCTGTTTTTCATCAAAAAAACCAGAACTGCCGATCATTTTCTTGACTATCAGTGAGCTACTAAAGTTCATTCTATCAGTTCACTTGCGTGTTTATGTTCTTCAGTGTACACAAAATGATAGAGAAAGAATCAGATAGCTTTTTTTATTGATTAAAATAAAATATTTTTTTGTCCAAGATGTATCGGAATAACAGCCTCTTCCATGTGCTTAACCAAAAAATGACAAAATACTTTTCATTCAAGGATCACCATCTAGATTTGCATAAATTCTTCAGAATTTTATGTGAAATACAAGAAAGAAAACACTAAGCTTACAGTACTCAGTGTACATGGAAAATTATTTTTACTTTATCCTCCCATGAGTACTGGCTACAGACACTTGATGCTCAGCAGGCAGTGCAGTTAAGCCATTTGCGGACAGAAGCAATGCTGCGTGACCTTTAGGTGACCAAAATCAGCTAAGCAGCACACCTTCAGAACTGGATTGAAAGCACACTGACAACTATAAAAGCAGGATTTTAATTTTGTCCTGCTTACCCATTATTTTTCAATTCTTCAGAAGTAAAAAAACCCCAATCTTTCATTCTGAAAACCACAGAAGTTTTTTGTTACACGTACTCCTTACTTCTACCTGAATGTTCTTGGCTCAATACTTTCATTCTCCTGAACAGCAACTGCAATCTGAAAAATGCACTGAAAAAGAGGCCTGGGATCTCTCCTTTGTATTGACCGTAATTGCGGGATTCCCTATTATCACAACGTTCTAGCCTGGCTCCTGTTATCATAGGACTATTCAGTACAACCACCAACCCAGGAGGAAGAAAACTGCGATACCCCGAACACGCTCTTTGACACAAGGTTAAACGTTTGTACGACAGTCGTATATACACATGTGGAAGCAATTTGTGATGATGGCAAAACTGAGCATCATTCACTGTCCTCTTTAACAGGGAAGCTGAAAAATATGGGAGTCTTCTAGCACATAAGATGGACATAAAAACCACTAAGACTTGCACTGGAATTTTGATGGAGCGGCAGCAGCTCATATGGACCACACCTTCTCTGGGTGGCGAGACGACAAGTGCTCGGTTATTTTAAACATTTTTTTTTTTTTTTTTTTTCCCACTGTGAGGGTGACTGAACACTGGAGCATGTTGCCTGGGGAGGTGGTACACTTGCCATCCTTGGAGATATCCGAAACCCCAAGGGACACAGTCCTGAACTCTAGCTGACCCTGCTTGGAGCAGAGGGGGCTGGACTTGACAACCTTTCAGGGCACCAGATGTGCCCACCAGCCTCAGCTATTCTGTGACTCCCAAACAACCTCTGGTTGACCAGAGGTTTGAATGAATGACCAGGACAATGAAACTCCTTGGTGCTGCAATAATCATCTGGTTTATGGCATTCAGGTGCAGAGGTAAATGGTTATTACAATGCTCTTAAGAGTTGGATCCATTTCAGAAGCTGATAAAGTAATTCTTATCTATTTTTTTTTGTTAAACCTTGCCAGGAGGAAAGGAACAAATGCACGTTTATTATTTATTGTGTTCCTCCTTTGCACTAGCCTGTATTAGTTTTAATGAATTTATTGCTAGACAACTTAAATCCCAAATTAAGGCCTTAAAAGCGGTTTTACAGAATTAGCATTTTTACAGAATAAAAGCCATCAATACAGATTTCTGGTTTGATTTAAATCTTCTACTATTTTTTATAGCTTAAGCTGTACATAACTGTGCTGGCACAGCTGTGTTAAGATCAAACTGGGATCCAGCTTGCCGTCTTTTCTGCCTGGGCTCTGCAGAGCCCATAGGTGAGGCGAGGAGGGGCTAGCTCAGTTCCAGGGCTCCCTGGGTTTATACTGTTCAGTTCTCATCAAACCTCCAAGAGGCAGGGAGCTTATTCAAAAAGCTTATTAGGAAATCTCAGTGGTGGATAAAAGAAATTACATGATAGTGGATAAAGTTCTTATAATCTCATAGAAGACTCCCACGGTTCTCCACAAAACTCAGATAATTGCTTTGTCATTTGTGCCTGTTTCTGTTAGAGTTTCTGAAAAGCCACTCTGAGGAGTTGGAGACAGCACTTGCAGGCAGGGAGATGGAAACCGAACACCAAAGGATCCCTCACCAGGCACACAGACCTGGAGCAGTGACTCATTACAGTACTTTACAGTACCTGTCACGTCTGTATCTCAACCTGCGATGAAGCACTGGCTTGATTCTGGCATTTATAATGACAAAAACTGTCTGCTTAAATTCTGGATGAGGATGAGAATATTCCTGCTTTGAAAAAAGAGTAACCCAAGAAAACTCCCTGTGTGGAGGGTGGTGACTATGCGGGAGAAGGTGGCTCCCCCTCTGCGCTTATGATATTATGGCAACCAGGTAAATGCCATTCTAGCTGGTGCTGCAGTTTAATTTTCAATGGTCAAATTGCCCAAGTTCACTAAAGCTTTCTCTTACGGACTTTGCCCTCAGGGAAGATGTTACAGGAGGTCCTTACTGCTCCACTGCTGGTTGCAAGCTGGCAATGTGCTGGAGAAAGGACCAGCTAGTTCTGAGCACAGCATTACACAGACGAGGCTTAATCTGTACTAGAAATGGCTGCATAAAACATTGACCTGTCACATTTATGCAGCTACTTCATTTTCTAATCTAGGGCAGCGTGACTGCAAATTACATTCACCTCCCGGGTAGTTTGGGCAGCTGCAACTGCTCTGTCATTTTGGAAGTGCTCCCCTTACTCAGAAGAGATTTATACTTTACAAGCAGGACTTGGAAGCTCTCAAGGTGAGACAAGCCTGGCAGTTCAACCAGGGGCAAATAGAATATGTATCTTTGCAATAAACAAACACTGCCCTTAGATGTTCCCTTCTGAAGCTGGACATGGGGGGGCACGAGTGGCGTTGTTGCAGAGGCTCTTTGAAACTCTCCACAACACAGTATTTGGCATTGTGGCACATGAAAAATTTACTTTGGGTTTCATAGTGGCAGTATTATAAAAGAAATACATAATCTATATATTTTAACAAGGTATATAAACAAATAGCCAGAAATCATAAGAACTGACCACATTTTGTGCTGTGTCTGTACTACACATTAAATGTTTTGGCTCTGGTTTTCTTCACTGAAGACTCCAGTTAGCCCGCTGCTGCTGCTGTTGCTGGCCATGGAGGTAACTCGCCCAGTGACTGGGAAGACGGGCCCTTTGGTGGGCACGTGCGCTCTGCAAGCCCGCTTCCCGCCCGCTGGCCTGGGGACGTGCCGGGTCTTCCTCCTGCGGATCCGCGGGATTGCCGCCCCAGGGTGGCTGGCGAGAGGCAGAATCTCCACTGCTCTCTCTCACCAAAACTTCTCTGGGGAAGGATGACAGCGCTCACCTCGTGTTGGCGATTCATGGAACACTGACCTGTAAAAGCTGCCTTGAGGTACAGAGAAGCGTAAGTTTGTGGGGAAAGCAGCGAGCTGCCAGGTTTATTGGCACCTCCCTGACTAAATTAAACCAGGCTCAGAGGGATAGGGAAGTGCATCCGGCAAAAGTAACTTCTTAATGAAGGGTGTCTGTCTGGGAAATCTTGCTGGCCTGATTCTTGCCTTTATGGGACACGCAGCTGCCGTTGCATCCCCACAGAGGAAAGATTTAGTAAAACTTTCAGTATAGACTTTGTAGAGGACTACGCTGATAGGAACTTTAATAAAAGTAGTTTATATCTAGTGCAGCAGGTGCTGACTTACTTTCTTGGTTTATAGCAAGAGGAGTTCAGATAATGTAAATCTTTAGATAGAATTAATCTTGATTTCAACACAAACTTTTAAATTATTTTCTCTTTTTTAATAATTGATATAACACATCTGATTTTTAGTTAAGAGTAATTCGTGAAATCATTCTGGTCATATTAATCCAATGCTAGCTCCGAGATAATGAAATACTTACGGCCTCTGGTGGGTTAGCATGGACTATAAATGTGCTAAATCAGAGATGTGGAAAGCTTGAAATAGCTTTTATGGGGTAGCTTGAAGGAAAGCTTGAAACAGTTTGTGTGGAATAGCTTGTATTTACCATTCAGTACTCATTTTGCCAAAGCTAAAGATTACATTTTGCCTTGTTATGAATAAAGAAAAACACACAGATTAATTTTTGCAGCTAAAAGATTAGCGTGAGCATAAATCTCTTCTCTGAATAGAAATTCCTCCGTATTTTAATCAATGGTAACAGCTCAACTTGCTAACAGGGAAGAATTTTAGCATTTGAAATTCATTCTGCTGCTTTTTCTCTGTGCTTTGATGGGTAAGGAGAAGGGGCTACTCTGTATTTCTTCGCACCAGCTCCCCTTTCTGATTCCCTTGCCCCAAAACACAGGTGGCATTGTATTTTTTAAGGAGACGATACCACGAGAAGGTGGTTAAGTAATTTTTGCACCCCACTAACAATCTCGTAAGGCTTTTCACATGCCCGCAGAATGACTAAATTGCCAACCAGGTTCCCAGCTCCATTTTGACCCCTGTCAATGAGGCTGGTGCAGGCAGCAGCTCTTCCGCAGGGAGATGATGGAGATGGAGACGCTGCTGCTGCCACCGCTCACTGACACGGCAATTAAATGTTAATGGACCCGCTGACGGAAAGCCGAGCTATTTAAATCGGGGAGAAGATTGGACCAGGAGGATTTCAAGCTGTGACACGCAGAACATGGAGAAGCTGTAATAAAAGCTCAATTATCTCGGTGCAGATCCTGCCTACGAGCAGGCTGATGAGCCGATACCGGGAGGTACCCATCAGTCCCGCGCACAGTAACAGCTATATACTTTTACTTCAGGCGCTCAGGTGACGCAACAACCCCCTGAAAACAACTCTGCGTCATCGTTTTCTACAGTTTTATTTCCTTGCAAGCGCACCGCCTCAGAAAGTCGCTCAGCAGCAGCCGCGGCC